CCCCCCCTCTCTCCCTATGCGAGCACATATATATTACCCACATATATTCGACATATATCTAACATATATGTAAGATATATTTTCGGCGAAAAATGCAGTATGTCACGTATAATTATTTGCATATATTTTTTTTCCGCGAGGGTTGGTTTTTAATAATGGGCTAATATTATTGTACGATAAATATATAAATTCGTTCAAACACTGTACAGGTCCGAATACTGGTCGTTGAATGCTACTAGACGATTAAATAACACTCATCATCGAAAAGTTACATTGCATGAATAAATAAATTCCAGGACTCTTACGAATTTTTTGACGGCTTCGTCGTTCTCCATGGGACAGATACCCTGAGTTACACCGCATCAGCGCTCTCATTCATGCTGGAATCACTGGGTAAGCCGGTCATAATAACCGGATCCCAATTACCAATTTTTGACACACGGTCTGACGGCCTCCAGAATTTCCTCGCCTCGTTGATAATCGCCGGCAATTACAGCATCCCTGAAGTCTGCGTCTTCTTTGGAAGCGCCCTGATGCGGGGAAATCGAACGAGTAAAGTCTCTGCAGCATCATTCGAAGCTTTTGAGTCGCCAAATGTTCCAAACCTGGCAACTGCTGGGATTAAAATTCAAGTGGACTACCAATCGATCTTTCGTCCCTGTGGTATGGAAAAATTCCACGTCCACACGACATTGAATCGTAACGTGGGGCTTCTACGGATCTTTCCTAGTATAACTGTGGAGTTGGTGAGGGCTTTCTTGCAGCCTCCGATCGAGGGAGTTGTCCTGCAGACTTTTGGAGCTGGCAATATTCCAATCAATCGACATGACATTGTCCAGGAGTTGAGAAATGCTACGAGTCGAGGAGTTCTTGTCGTCAATACCACACAGTGCTCCAGGGATGGAGTCACTCCTGCTTATGAGTCTGGGAAATTGCTCGTTGATGCTGGTAAATATTTACATTTATTGAAACAGTAAATGAGTTTAGAATGTCTTCAAGAGTAATCGATCTAGAGTATATTGTCGAAAGACAGATATGGAACAATTCATTTGATAATTCGAATTCTCCGGAGTTTTTCCGAATTTTTATTGAAAGTGTTGCACTTTTTCTCCCATTTTTTGAATTCAGATAAGTATTTCTTTTTTTTTTTTTTTATGCTTATTTTATATCGCTTCGAGTCTGATGAGACTATATGGCGATTGATCAAGACTTTAAAAATGGTTAGATCTCACCATTCTACCCGGCCAGGAATCGAACCTGGAACCTATCCGTTGTGAGGCAACGGCCTTAACCACTACGCCAGGCCACCGGGCAGATAAGTATTTCGATGTTCCTGGTGAGAATGAGAAATGAGAGAAAAACCATGAGAAAGTTGAGAAAATTCATGCTGAGGAATTTCCATGGATAAAATTGCAGTTAAATACAGCTGCATAGAACGATCATAAATCTATTGACTGCGATTAATGTTCAGTTGGTTTTTTTGTGTCAAATATTCTATATGAGGTATTTCATGCCAAACGAGTCAATGGCTGACCCTCGACCTTTCGGAAATTGATCTCGATATTTTCTACAATCGGGCGGCTAGAAAAACTATCTCAATTTTTTTCCGATTTTTTCGACAGCCCATTTTGAAGATATGATTTTTCCTTTGTTTTTTCGTTTTTTAACTTCCCGACCCTAATAAAGGAAGTTATTTTTTTTTCAATAACTCGGATTCTATTCAGCCGATTTTAATTTATGACGCCTCAAAATTTTCCATTTTCTACCATCTATAAGAAGGTTTTCGGTATTTTTTTTTCAATCCCCAAGTGGTCATAACACCAAATTTTCAAAAGAAAAAATTGAAAAACTTGAATTTTCAAAATTATGTCACCTTTTATTTTTTTCATCGTTTTTTCAGTAACTCTTATGATTAAAACAAGTATTTTGAGCCGTCGTACAAGTTGGGTTTCGTCCTGGATCTATTTGAGTTTAAATTTTTTCTTCTCGAAATTCCGCGTATTTGGTCAAAACACCCCAAAACGACTTTGATTATGTATAAAAAAAATGTAACATATAAGTATACATTTAACTTTACTTCATACTATTTATCATCAAAGTCAATCAATGCCATTTTGGGTTATTTTTACCAATTCGTGACATTTCGAGAAGAAAAAATTAGAAATAAAGTAGATCTAGGACAAAACCCAACTGGTATGACGGTTCAAAATACTTGTTTTGATTACAAGAGTTACTGAAAAAAGACGAGAAAAATAAAACGTGACATAATTTTGAAAATTCAAGTTTTTCAACTTTTTTTTTGAAAATTCGGTATTATGAGCACCTAGAGGTTGAAAAAAAAATACTCAAAATATTTTTATAGATGATAAAAAATAGAAAATTTTGATGTCTCATAAATCAAAATCGGATGAATAGAACTGGAGTTATTGAAAAAAAACGAAAAAACAGAAAAAATCATATCTCCGAAATGGGCTGCTAAAAAAAATGAAAAAATTGAGAAATAATTTTTCTGCTGGTCCAATAGTAGAAAAAATCGAGATCAATTTGCAGGACGGTGAGCGTCAGCCGTTGACTTACTTGACATGAAATACCTCATACGAAATATTCGATACAATTGTCTACTCAAAAAATGCACAGAAGATTATAACATTTGTATAAGAATCGGGGGATAAATCTATGGGACTTGGAAGCGTTTTTATGAGATTTCTCCTGTTGATTTCTTGTAATATTATTACTCAAAGTAAGGTGATTGCATTATTGACGAATGATTCACGTAAGTGCAATATCCAAGCAAAGTATTTTTCAAATATTTAGAAAAATTATGGAGAAAAAGGAAATCATCCAAAGATTTTTCTGTGGAAAATAAAATTCGGTGCCTGACATTCTGGAAATAATTGCATGGTCAGCAATCGTTCCATAATCAATTAATCTAGTAATTTTATTTTCTCTGTGACATTTAAAGGAGTTACTGTGGGTTATGACATGACCCCAGAGGCTGCCCTCACAAAATTATCGTATGTTTTATCGAAGACAGAGTGGGATATTCAGAAAAAAAGGAAAATGATGGAAACCAATTTGAGAGGGGAATTAACTACTTGCGAAAGAGTGAATTTCCAGGATCGCCAACTGTTTCTGAACTGGTTAGGACTTATTACTGAGACTGAATTGAATAAATTGGGTCCCATAATTTTCCCAGCGATGCTCATTGAAGCCGTCATAGCGAAGGACGTTGAGAAACTCGAACTACTGCGACTCAATGTAATTAATTCATTTCAAGATTCACTTCAAGATTAAAATGGTTTTGCAAAAAACTTTAATTCCATTTTGTATTTCAGGGTGCGGATATATCACAGCCCAGTCCAGATGGAAGAACAGCTCTTCACATTGCTTGTAACATAGGGAACATTGATATTGTTCGTAAATTACTGGAAATGGGAGCAAATGTTCATATGAAGGATTTACTAGATCGAACACCGCTCACTGAAGCTATAGAAAATCATTATGATGAGGTAAATACAATTTTTCTAATTGATTGAACTCCGATTGTTCAATCTATTTTTATTTTTCTGTCCGTAAAAATATTCGACTAGTCGCTGTATGTTAAACTTGACGGTTTTTGCTTCCGCATGGAAGCTTTGTAATCGCTCAAATTTAGGTTTCCAATTCTTTGTGTTAGGGTAAGTAAACATGATCTAAAAAGTCCGAATATGCGATTTTTAGATGGTGGACACCAATTAACATTCAATTTTTCATATAGATTCGAAAAAAATTGATATTTTCAAAAAATCGATTATTTAGCGATCACTCAAAACATTGTTATCTAAATTAAATAAATCATGGCTCAAAAAACTTATAACAATACCCTTTTAATTCTATACGAATATAATGCGGGTCGCACAATTCGTTGGTGAGTTACGGCATATTGTTTATGCGTTTTGAAAAAGAAAATTACTATTACTGATTAGTCTTTCAGTAATCTTTTCATGATTACTGAAAGAATAATCAGTAATAACAATTAAATCAGGGCTTGAAAAGTATATTTCTTCTTAATCAAGTTGAAAGATGGTGAGAACAGCATCATTGTTTGTCAAGTTACACAATACCGCCATGAGCTTTTTATATCAAAATTTCTATCTCTATTAAACTCAGGTACCAGTCTATTATGTTGACTATTTTTCCCAAGCGGATTTCGACCAATCAGAGCGCAGTATTTGAGGCTATACAACAGTTTTATTTCGGATATTTCCTCCTAACTTTTGAATATTTCGCAGTAGCTCTTCATTTTTTCAACTCATTTCAGATCGAATCTTGTATTTGACCGTCTACGAAAATGGGGTTATTCAACTAATATAATTAGTTCAAATCTTCCCTAATTCACCTCCTGTCGTCCACTGCACTCTGATTGGCCAAAATCCGATTGGGAAAAATCATCCTCGCGCAAGTACTCGGGATTTTTTAACCTGCAAAAATTGACACCCTCATTTGTTTGCAACGAAGTTATCTGGAAATACTCGATAATTTTAAAGCTCTTGGGGTATTATTACTGATTATTTTTGGTAATCGGATCTGGCCTCCCCTGGACCAATCGGAGTTCAGTATTCAATAACATGAAGTACTTCCCAATTAAAATTACAGCGGTTATTTCCCCCTAGCTTTTGATAATTTCCCTCTAGCTCTGCCATTGTTTCTCTAACCAAATAAGTGTCAAATATTATCCTGTGAAGTGAAAGAAAGTCATGAAGAAAGTCAGATCCGATTGCTAAAAATAATCTGTCGAATACCACTCGACCTCCAAAATTAATCGAACATTTCCCTCATGTTTTCCTGTGTATCAACGATCGGGATAAGTTTTACACAAAAATTTTAATCTGTAAAACTTCTCCCTCTTATTGTTACGCAACGAAATAATCGGGAAATATTCGATAATTTTCGAGGTCTCGTGGTATTACTACTGAATATTTATTAATATTGATTCACGGCCCCGACTAACTTCTATCGGAATCTGGGTTAAACTCTGGCTAAATGATTAAACCTTAATGGAACTTTGATTAAACCTAGACTGAAAACGAATTCGAGACTTGAGAGAGTCTGAATGTAGAATAATTTGACAGAACGAAATAATACACAAAAAGTTTCATGACATTTCAATTGATAATAGTCCTATGGGACATGAAAAAATAGAAGAACAGAACAGTGAAAAAAAAATTATAAAAAGAGAGACCATTGGGAAACAAATTTCTAATTTATTAGCAACAATAACTATACTTATTTATAACAAAAAATGCAATTATTCACTTGTTCGGTCTACTCTAACACTGATATTGCATTTTCTTAACAAGATGACCTATGACACACAATAGAGTCCTTTGACCCATTTGTTGTTTTGAAATTGTAATTTTCCTCTTATAAGTAAACGATGAGCGTATTGTATTCTTCTAAATTGAAATGTCCCAAACCAATTACATAGGATGGAATCTGTATTCCACATTATATAATTCAAAATTATAAAATGTAATATTCAGTAAATGTTGAATTTGTTATATGCAATTCGACAGGTATAATTTGAACACGTGTAATTTAAGAAAAACAAAATCCACTACTCCGGACCCGAGTTTTCTGAATTTTATATTTTCTTGAATCGCCCATATTCGAAATCGTAAATGTCAAATTACGCACAATAAATTGACCAATCACAAATTTGATTTGTCCGAAGTGGCAATCAAATGACACAATGTAAAACTGGGATGGAGAAAAACAATATAGTATAATTCAATATGTATATCGTGTAATTCGCACGTGGAGATTACAATTTTTATGGCAGCGTCTAGGCACTGCGTCTAAGGTACCTTATCCGTTAATTTTTTTACCTTACATCTAAGGTGTTTTTTACCTTGTATCTACCGTGAGGTATTTTTCCCGTAAGGTATTGCCCGATATCTAGATAATTTTTTGAGTTTGAATACCCACGGTATATAGTAACTTTTCCCGTAGCCACAAGGTATTTTGCTCCCATACATTTAAGGTAATTATAAGCATCCGTTCTTTCAATAGATATAAAGTAATTCGATTTATTCGGGGCTCAATTCAATTTAGTTTCATCTGGAATTCAAGTTTGAATTCAGAACACTCCCCTATTCATCAGAGCGTACTGTATAGCGCGTTATTGATTTGGTTTCTCTTTATAATTAAATGACACTGAAACTGGCGAAAGATAGGCACGGCTTTTGGCGCGGACTGTACTCTAGGCGCACTGAGTGCAGGGGCCCTTTTTTTAAATAAAATTTTAAATTATTTTGAAAAAACGATTGAAATTTATTTTCTAAACAATTATCTTTTTTATGCATTGATTTTCGAACTAAAAAATTAATTAATTCAATAAATAAATTAATTTATTCACCCGCGGTTTTTTTATCTGTGGAAAATAGACGCATGTATCCGGAGGGATGAAAATTTAGGGGGCGAGGACTCCGGGTCCCCTCCGGGTCTGAGATTACATTTTTATAGAATTTACCCCTCTGGAAACATGCGCTGATTTTTTATAATTTTTCGAAAAATGAATTTCGGGGAAAATACATGTGTATGTGGTTTCTCCGGAGGGTTGAAGACAGCCGCATGTATCCGGAGGGGTGAAAATTTAGGCAGGTGAGGGGGAGGGGTCTGAGACTACATTGTTATAAAATTTACCCCTCCGGAAACATGCGCTGATTTTTTATTATTTTTTTAAAAATGAATTTCGGGGAAAATACATGAGTATGTGGTTTCTCCGGAGGGTTGAAGACAGCCGCATGTATCCGGAGGGGTGAAAATTTAGGCAGGTGAGGGGGAGGGGTCTGAGACTACATTGTTATAAAATTTACCCCTCCGGAAACATGCGCTGATTTTTTATTATTTTTTTAAAAATGAATTTCGGGGAAAATACATGAGTATGTGGTTTCTCCGGAGGGTTGAAGACAGCCGCATGTATCCGGAGGGGTGAAAATTTAGGCAGGTGAGGGGGAGGGGTCTGAGACTACATTGTTATAAAATTTACCCCTCCGGAAACATGCGCTGATTTTTTATTATTTTTTTAAAAATGAATTTCGGGGAAAATACATGAGACTGGGGTTTTTCTAGGGGGTTGAAGACACCCGCATATATCCGGAGGGATGAAAATTTAGGCGGGTGAGGGGGAGGAGTCTAAGATTACATTCTTATAAAATTTATCCCTCCGCATACATGCGGCTGTCTTCAACCTCCCGGAGAAACCGCATGATCATGTATTTCCCCCGAAATTCATTTTTTTTAATTATAAAAAATCAGCGCATGTTTCCGGAGGGGTAAATTTTATAGAAATGGAATCTCAGATCTCTCCCCCTCACCCTCCTTAATTTTCATCCCTCCGGATATATGCGGGTGTCTTGAACCCCCCAGAAAAATTGCAGTCTCATGTATTTTCCCCGAAATTCATTTTTCGAAAAATTATAAAAAAATCAGCGCATATTTCCGGAGGGCTAAATTTTATAAAAATGTAATCTCAGACTCCTCCCCGTCACCCCCCTAAATTTTCATCCCTCCGGATATATGCGGGTATCTTCAACTCTCCAGAAAAATCCCAGTCTCATGTATTTTCCCTGAAACTCATTTTTGAAAAAATTATAAAAAATCAGCACGTGTTTCCGGAGGGGTAAATTTTATAACAATGTAGTCTCAGACTCCTCCCCCTCACCCCTCCAGATACATGCGACTGTCTTCAACCCCCCGGAGAAACCGCATACTCATGTATTTTCCCCGAAATTCATTGTTTAAAAAATTATAAAAAATCAGTGCATGTTTCCGGAGGGGTAAATTTTATAAAAATGGAATCTCAGACCCGTCCTCACCCCCCTAAATTTTCATCCCTCCGGATACATGCGTCTATTTTCCACAGTAAAAAAACCGAGCAGGTGAATAAATTAATTTATTTATTGAATCAATTAATTTTTTAGTTTGAAAATCAATGCAGAAATAAGATAATTGTTTAGAAAATAAATTTCAAACGTTTTTTCAACATAATTTAAAATATTATTTTTCGCCACTACCCGAGTGGAAATTCCGGTGAGGTCTTGATCAAGTTTGGATCAGGTTAGACCTGACCACTGATCAGGTATTGATCAAGTTGACGGATCCGGTCTTGATCAGACATGTTACGCCTCTGACCAATCCGGATTTGATCAGGACGAACGGATCCGAACTTGATCAAGTCAACTGTATGACAACCGGATGACCTGTCTGTCAATGTCAATAACAATTATCAATGATAATTAATCCAAAACAAAAGATAATTCAATTCTTTCACCGTAGACCGCCTCTCTTAACGAATCTCCACTGCTATTATCTCTGAAAAAGCTGATTATTTTTTACCGATGCTGGGGATCGAACCGGGGACCCTATGATTGCTAATCCTATGCCCTGTTCGACGCGAAATTCAGGGACTTTATTCCATGTAATAGATAATTTTGTCAAGAAAATATTGTGCCGGTATTTAAGTACGCCAATTTTTTTAATACGCAGAATTTTTCCGACGCCGAACATGTAGTGAATGTTCCAATTTTAACTTAGTCCGACCTCAATATTTCGTCTTTATCATTTCCTATAAACTTTGAAGTTTATAGCACGAAGAAAATAGGTCTTTCCGATGATTTTCCCAAATGTCTTGTTGGACGGAAATACATTTTGAAAACTTAAATTTTTTTTTTTGTATTTTCTAAAATCCATATTTTTTTTCAAAAATTCAAAAATAACTAAACTAATAAATTGACTTTCTGAATAAAAACATCCAAGAAACCTTAACAAAGTAGAAATTTTGAAGGTACAAAACCGTACCGTTAATTGGCGCAATCACCTAACTGAATTCCATTACTCATCCAATTTCCCCAGTCGAGCCAACGAAATTCTGTTTTCATCATTTCAGATAATAAAACTACTAATTCAATGCGGTGCTCACCTCCACGAAGACCCCTTGCGAATAGGAGAGAAGTTATGTTCAGCAGGAGCGAACGGAGACGTAAAAAGTTTGCACTCACTTAAATCTGCTGGAGCAAATTTAAACCAAGCAAATGCATCTGGACTCACAGTACTCGAGCAAGCAGTCATCCATGACAAGCCTAAAGTAGTCGAATTCTTGTTCGACCACCACGTCGATCCTAACATCACAAATAAACGTGGTTTAACATCACGTCAGATTGCTGAACTACTCGACTGTCAGGAAGTCCTAAAATTACTCCCTCCACCCACCACGAATAGCATCGAAACCTGAATTCATAATGAAGAAATAACGCACGTTTTTTTTCTTTTCTCTGAACAATTGTTTTCAATGGAATATTGTACTTCTTGAAGTGTCAAGAGAAAGCAAAAATACGTCTCTATTTTTTTTACGCTGCGTGCACTTGAACAATTGAAAGTTCCGACTGTCATGATGATTCTGCGACGCTGAGAATGTTAGGTAAATGAATGTTGAGAAGGAAATATTTATGTAACAAGTTTAATTTCAATGTTCAACGTTCGTATTTATATTCACAAAATGTTAATAAACATTTCAATTTTTTACCGTCTCCAGTGATTTAATTCCCGTGGAGATTGAGCACTGAGTTTTTCTCAAGCTGATGAGAAAATTTTTATTGAATTCCCAGTTCAGTGAGGAGCACTTCAAATATTTCTGGAGCCATCTTACAGCCGCCGAAATAATTAAGACATTGTTCATTTGAGTGGTGACCGGCATCCACGGCTTCTTGGATTGATGTTCCATTGATGAGATCCTTTATCAATTTCAAACTAAAAGAAATTGATTTGAAAAGAGAAGAAAGATTAATTCAGCAGCAAAATGGTGGAGGGGATTCAACGTGTTAACTTTATTCGTGAAGAATTTGGCAAAATTCAAAAAAGATAATCTACCTTTTCTTGCAAACTGTCTCATTCCATAGATCTTTGATATCAAGAAATATTTTCTACTCAAGTGGACTTATGTTAACTATCAATTATCTATGTTGACCTCAATAGCAAAAAATGACTATCAACTCACTCGATTTAAGCATAATCATGTAATCAAAGGGAAATCAATAATTAGCTGGACTCATGTTGAGGGTCGAACAATAAATTATATTTGGTGCGAATTATTGCGAGCTTTCTGTATAAAATTATTTTTGAACTACAAATGCGATCATTTGATTTGGCGTGATCACACCATTTTTCTAATTTATTATTGAACTAGCTGTTTTCCTGTACGTTTCCCGGGCGATTCCCGAAAATCACATTACTCTGAAAATTAGTGATAATGTCCCTCAAAATTAGTGATGATATCAGAATTTCAGATTTCCAAGTTATGCGCTGACTGAATTTCACAATTGAAAATCCCTACTAATTAGCTATAAATTCCTGAATATCAGTGACATGTTCTTGGAAATCGGTGACATATCCATGCAAATCAGAACTTTTTATCTTTGAGCTCATTTTATTTGTAAATTTCGGAAAAACCTCGCTTTCCCAAGAACCCGAAATTTTTTTCAAATTTTCCAAAAGATACGAAAATCTTCGTATTTTGTAGACAACTTCCGAATATTTTGCAGCATTCGACAAAACCCGCGACCATTCTTGAAATTTATAGAAAATCCTGGAATTTTCCGAAACACTCGAGAATGTTCAAGGTTTTTCCAGAAAATTGTAGGACTCTTTAGTGAGTTTTAGAATTATGTGGATGGAAATGCCTACATCGCATATTGCAGTACACAATATAATACAATACTTTTATGATACTGCTGCTACGTTCACCTCGTGCCGAAAAGTCTTTTCGTTTACTTGTAATAGTATATTTCGATACAAAGTGCCACGGCTTTTTCACAAGTGTGAAGTTGGATCACACGAGCTGAAAAATGCTCGTCGCAGATATGTCGAACTATATTTTCCGTCATTAATTCCAGCCGTAAAGCAGCGCTTTACGAACGCGTAGCCGTTATGACAAAAAATATCATTCGACATACGGCCTAAAAAAAATTTTCTAGCTCATATGATTTCAATCCTCGCCTTTGGCTCAGGCTGCAAACTCATATTCGCCAGAAAAGTTGTCTTGGTCTAATGACAAAACATACTATTTTATCAGTGATGTTACGTTCAACGAGTGGCAAACTGTGCCCTTTTTCGTTTACAAGGATAAACGGAAAGTGTTTTCGGTTGCGAATAAACGAAAATGCACTTTTCGGAACGAGGTAAACGTATCAGCAGTCACAAAAAATAGAGTTCGACGCATGTGCCACGGGGATTTTTCAGTTCGTAAGATTGACTGCCCTCGGCTTCGTCTCGGGCCTCCAATTCACACTTGTTAGCCCTCGATTAGCGCGGCGCCGCCTCTTTTCGTTTTTTTTAAATATTTTAGCGTGTTACTCGACGTTTAAAAATTATGAACAAATTAGAGTTCCTAGTTCCATCCCTTTATTAAGCGTTAGCGTTGTCCGTTTTTTGCTTGGGAAATTTGTTTAACTAAAAAAAAAAGGAACGTCGAGCGAACAGAAAAGCGGCGCCCGGTGCGAATGAGTTCCTGTCGGCGGCTCGAGCGACAGTGTTGCTACATTCACTGCCACACTTGAAATGCACTCCTAGCAGTAAACGGTAAGCCTAGCGCCAACGTGGCAACAGCACGCTCGGTTTAACCTAGCGGCGCTGAGCTAACTGTGCGACGCACGGAGAGAAATTTTCTAGAAAAATTCTAGTACGAGCTCTGGAAAAAATTACAATCCACCGGCTGTGAAAAATTCTAGTGCTGTTAAGGTAAAATTTCTTGGTATTTCTGGTAAAAATTCTGGGGATTTCTGTGAAATTTTCACGGAAATGCGGGGAAAAATTTACGTTTTCCCCAATAAAATTTGTAGTGCCGGCACTGGAATTTTTTCCTGACCATCACTTTGCGCCTCTTTTCCCGTGCTAGCACTAGAATTTTTCTAAAAAATTTCTCTCCGTGCGGATGAAGACTGGCGGCCGAGCGAGAATGATCCAAGGTTAAAAACCCTTCGCACTTGTATCGAAATATATTCCATTTCCTTCTTTCTTGAACATTCCATAATTTTCAAGAAAATCCTGAAAATTTCACGAGAGTGCATCCCCTTGTATGCAAATTAGTTCGATAATTTATTGCCTATGAGAAAACGCAAACCTGATCAACAGTGAAAATCTAATTGAAGTTCATTTATTCGGTTTTGGTGTGCATCGCGAACAACAAAAGGCGACACATTTATTACACGCATGAGAAAAAGCGTAGTGATAATTACTTGGCGAGTCCGTCAACGATTTTATCAGCTCCCGTGGGTGTATTCACCCTGTCCACCCTTGCAATCGCCCCGCAAATCGCTCGTTGAATGCAAGGAGTAACATAATTATTCCCAAGCACGAGTTCATTAAGCGCTCGCCCTGCATCCCAGATACTGAACTCGTCATCAAAACCTGTAGATTTAATTAAATGACTAATCAGTGTTTGCTCTGTATATTCAATGAAAAATAAGTGGGTTTACTCACGATATTGAGGATGACTTGGTGTTTTGAATAGTAGCGGAATCACGAAGGCTGTTATCGCAGCTAAAATTCCGGCAACTGTGATTGATTTTGTGTTTATGTTAACTAGAGGTCTAGGTCCATCTTTTTCATCTTTATCACCCAATGGGATCGAGATAAATGGAATTGATAAGTCCAAATCGACCTTAAAGAACGCATATTAATTTTATCAAAGGAAATTAAATTTCTTCCAGAATTAAGGGGAAGTGTACCCCGGGAAAAAACTTGTTTATCACACTGTCCTTAAAATGTCATTTTACGGACACTTCGTGTCCGTCAAACGCCCTTTACGGACATTGTGAAGAAAAATATTGTTCCGTACTGATCTTCCCTTTACTTGTCCGGAGATTGGTATTGACCCTTCCCCAAATTCGTAAAACTGAAAATCACTACGGAAAAATATCGTTCACGCTTAGTGCCATGGGGTTTTTTTACTCGCGCGGTTGACCAGTCCTCGCCTTCGGCTCGGACGCCAACTCCACGCGAGTAAAAAACCCCATGGCCGCGCCCTGAAATATACTATTTCCGTACTGACCTTCACTTTTCCCAGTCCGGGGATTGGTATTGACCCTTCTCCGAACTGGCAAAAGTGAAAGTCACTACGGAAAAACATCGTTCGCGCCTAGTGCCGCAGGGCTTTTCAACGAGTGTGATTGACATCGTCGAAAACCCCAGTGGCATTCGACGCGAAATACACTAATTCGACACATGGCCTGAAAAAACTTTTCCACCTCATATAATTGTAGCCTCGCATCCACCTCGGGCTGCAACCTCATATTCGGAAGGAAAGTTTTTAGGCCTTATGTCGAAATGCACTATTTCGTTTTTCACAAAAAAAAATGTTTAGATACTGTTTTTCGCGTGATTTTTCCTCAGGAACATGATTTTATCGATCAAAATTGTCTCCGGCCACTCAAAATTAGGGCGTCCAATTTTTGTAATCAAAAAGTCAACTCAACAACAATCCCCAACGTATTTTTAAAAAATAGTTTTTTGAATATGACCATGAATTTTCATTTCTTCATTATCAAAAATACAGATGAAGATACATTTTGAAATTTATTCGTTTATCCAAATTTCTATTAATATCTGAAAAAAATTATCTTACCCAAATATTATGTATAAACTTTATTGATTAATGCTCACTCCACCTTTAGTGGTCCTTATACATCTACATAGTCTTTTGTTACTTTATGTATAGTTGGGAGGGCTCCTCTCAGTAATCGAGAGTTCGCCAGCACACTTCCTCCCTAAAATTCGGACACGTTTTTCGTACGGATTCCATTACTTTTTTATTCTTCTTGTGGAAATTCATTCATTCTAATTGATACTCATAAAAATTTCCCAGAATATAATTGATCCATTGAAAATAACTTCTTTTGGTTGATCAATGGTCTTAAAAGCCCGGGGTGATAATATAGAATATGAATATACCGGTCGGAATAATTTCTTTCGTTTATTGTAATGAGGCTTTCCCTTGTCCTTTGGCTAATGCGGTACAGGGGGTTGGAAGGTGGGAAAGGAAGAAATCGTAAAAACCCATAAGGGTATACGAGAGAAAACAAATTTTCAAAAAACTACTAACAAAAATACCCTGGGCATTTTTTAAAAATTGATTTTTCGATAAGCAAAATTCAAACATCATTTTTAGCGGTCGAGGACAAATTTGACTCACAAAATCGAATTCCTTAGGAAAAATTGCGCGGAAAATAGTATTTGAATTTTTTTTTTTCGAAAAACAAATTTTTTCCCGGAGTGAACCTTTCCCATTAATTGTAATGTGATTTACTTTTTCTATAGTTGTTGCCGAAAATTGACATGATTGTATGGCCGATTTTCTTCATCACGAGAGAATAATTGAAGTATTACTCCTTATGAATTAAAGGAACTATTCCTCATAAATGAAACTGCCCGAGTAGAAATTCTGTTCAGGTCTCGATCAGAAACTGATCAAGTCCGATCCGAAATTCTGATCAGCATGTTACGCATCCACCTTATGTTTTTCCACTAGGGTGCTTTCTCCAATTATGGATTGTTGAAATTTTCCAGTATCGTTTACACACTTTAAAACGGTTCAACAATATTTTTGAATTGCTTAGTGTTCTGACACAGTAATATTTTCCTACCCGACAGATGTTAAGAAACAAGGCCAAAATTGTCACGGGAGCTGAGTCACTGCAATTTTTCGCCGAATCATACTGATCAAGATCGAATTATGTATCACGTCAATTTAAGAGTCCCATACAAATAAAAGTTTCAGACTAATTTTCGATTTCTTGTCATTTTCATGGCCGACTATTGCTCGGATCACTTGCACAATTTTTTAAGGGGAGACTACTATGAGTTTTAAAAGTCACGGGCTATTGGAGTGAGTTTTTTCATACATTGTAGATCGATTATATATGTCTAAAAATGAATAATTAGTGAAAAAAATTAATTATGTATTATTCGTTTGCCCCGTAGATGCTTAAAATGTGGGTATCTACATGAAAAGGGCCTACTTTGTCGGTTTGGAATTACGTATATTCCGATAATCTTAGTGAGATTCCTCACATTTTGAGCCCAAAATTAACACGATAGTAAGAAAAATGACGTCGGTATAGAAGATCAAAAAATCAGTTTAACATTGGTTTAAATGGAAGGTGTGAACACAAAAACGTGAATATCTCGCAAAATAAATGCGACAAAGTGGCCCCTTTTCACGTGGACGTACACAAATGTTTATAATACTCCAGAGCTTCCAATTTTTGAGCTAAAGAGGTTGTTTTTTAAAAATTAAAAAAAAAATGTGTACAATAACTATTACGAGCTACACTGAGACAAAAAATCTAATATCTGAAACATATTTACTTGAGGCAAGTAAGCTTTCTTCAATCGCTTAATTTTTCGAGGCATCTCAACTCACGTGACCCGAGAAAGGTCTCATGCTTTATAATATTCGTGTACTCAAGTATAATTTTGTCGTAAATGAACTCACTCAAATCTCGTATAAAAATCTTTAATATTCAAGTATTTATTGTTTTCATGATTTTTTTATGCATTTTCAATGTTTCGATATGTAATATATTCATCATATAACGTGGAACGACAGTGCTGAATGAGAATTTATATTCAAGTTCCGTGAAGCGCAAACATTCTGCGATTTGAGCCATTGAAAATAATTTACTTCTCTCAAGTAAGCATGGTCTACATATTAGAAAATTTGTCTCTCAGTTTAGTTATTTGAAATTCAACAACTACACAGCTAAGTTCGTTTTGTTTTCAATAAAAAATTGCACCACTCATGTAGAATAGCCAGGAAATGTTTCTGAAAGAATCGAGAATATATTTTAAATATTTTGAGGATCATTTTGATGGGTAGGAGTCGTATTTCAAAAAACTAATTCGTAATTCCTATTGTACACTTTTCAAAGATAAAAAAAAGAATATGTGTAGCTCAAAAATTGCAGGCCCTGAACTATTTTTAACTCAAGCGTCTGCGGGGCAAACAAACAAAAAACAATTCATGTTTTTGCATGATAAATCTCACTCAAATAGTCCGCGAATTTTAAAACTCATAGTCAGGTGAACAGGCCAATGGCTGAACGGTCAAGGAAAATTCGAGTTTCGTCGTAGGATTTAAAATAAAAGAATCACCTAAATGGGGATATGATGGCTTCATACCTTCAAAAATGGATTAATTAGCAGAAAAAAATTATTTGAAGTGAAAATAACAAAACAACGAATAATTAAATTAGGAAATAGTTAAATGCAGCCGAAACCCCCAATTTCTGGACCACTCGCATATTTTTATTTATTTATTAATTGTCGATCAATAGAAAAAATAATTGACCACATGATTATACATGAGCAATATTATTGAAAGGTGCAATAGTCTGCACAATTTTAATTTTATTTATGGAATATTCAGTGGAAATTGAAATCGTCCAGAAACTACCCCCCGTACAGAAATTGATCTGTTTACCCTAGTCTCCCCTTAATATTTCGTTTTATTCTTCACATTTTCCAGACACGTGAGAACATCTTTTTAACAGGTACGAATTTATGATCATATATCATTTAATACTATTGATTTACTCCCCAAAATATAGAATCAATTTCGCTTTTTTGAACTCATGACAATGGCAGACGGATAATTAAATTGATTGAACTTGGAAATTAGAAGAAAAATTACTCACATCAATTTTTCCGTCCTCCGAATTGAAGGAAATGAATTTTGGTTCCCTTCTGGGTGATTCGGTATGTTTTCTTCCGTTACCATATACAAGAACTAGAATCGCGAACAGTAATGACAATGCAAAAATAACTGAGGCCGTCATGTTGATAATGAACGTAAGTGTTCCCCCGAAGTTGAACTAAAATTGTGACACTTTAAACTCCTGCACAACTATCTATATCGCAAGAACCCTCTCTTCTACTGCAAGGAAATAACGTTATTACAAGGATAACTGGCCCCTTGATTATATTTTTTTTCCGCGGAGAAAGGCTGATGATATTATCACACATGACAAATTCGTTTTTTCGCTGCAATTAAAATTTTCTGTTAGGTATTGCTAGTAATTTCTGCAGAGGTAATGGTCCTAACATGCGAACTTACATTTTACTCGCTAAAAAAAATATAAAAAGAAAGAATTCTTGTGACTTTCGTGCATTTTCTCAATCACCAACTGTAACGGATTTGCTATTTTTCCACGCTATTTTCTTTACCTTCTAGTTCCGAATTATTAACTCCTGAGTACTTGTGTCCATGTAACGATCTTCGAATTTGAAGAAAGCATCAGAAATTTTTACTTTTTTTCTTCACAGTGAAAGTTTCAGGGAAATTAGTGGATGATAAGCTATTTTCGTTCGGTCACATTAGTGACAGTTTTTAATTTCTGTAGAGTAAATTTACTTTTAAAAACAAACGGAACTTCTGGAGTAGAAAATTGATAGCTCAATTATCTAATTTTGAATATGCTTAATGCTTCTTTCGGTGAGTTTGAAAATACGTATCTCTCCTTCGCTTCCTAAAATCAGGAGAGGGAAAAGGAGGATTATTATAGGAAACTGTTTTTGTAGAGCATTGTGAAAGTATGAAAAATGTTGTCAATGTAAAGTAAAGGGAAATTCTGATTACAAACAAAGTTGATACCGAAAGGTCGGGGGAAGTGTAGACCTTCGATTGAATCTTTATCGAGCCAAAAATTAAATTCAGTGGTAAAGTACTTTGCCAACAGAGGGGAAGGCGGGGCCAAGTGAAATGTTTTGTAATCTTCTCCAAATCCCAATATCTGCATTTATAAACAAAGATTTTGGTAATTAGAGAAGATCACAAAACGTTCCACTTTGCCCCATCCTCCCCTTCCGAATAGAACTTTCATTAAAAAAACATAATGAGCCAAATGTGAAATTTTTTAAATTGTTCATTGATCTCCGAAAATAGTAAATTCAGGAAATAATGTTAAGACACCTAAAATACTATGGTCTCTGGGTAATTTCAGATTTAGTATAGATCTGCACAGTTAATGTACTCTTTTATATTTTCCTTCTTTCCTGAATGAGAGCTCAGTAGTGATGATACACTGCTGAATTCAATCTCATGTTCACTTGTGTCACGATTTTTGAAACAACTTTTTTATATTCGAGTATGTAAATTTCAAATTTCACTAAAAATACCACAGATTTTCATCATGTCGTTAAAAATTAGAAATTGAAGTGAAGAAATGTTAAATTAGAATAATAAAGACAGAAGCTTTTACGAGTGAAATATTCCTCCTGTAAGATAAATGAAATTCTCCAAAAATAATTTAATTACTTTAGAAAAAACCACTGAACAGTTTAAAGACGCCAGGATATGCTTTTTTCTCGCACTTTACGCAATATTTTCACTCTGTTTTGAATACCAAGATGGCTTCAAGGTGTTTCTATCCAACACGCGTTAGTACGCGCGAGAGGAAAAGTAATTTCGGGGACAAAATTGTTGTACATTGTCACGCAATGTGGATACGTACCCATGGAAATTCTTGACGATGAAAGCGAAACCAAAGAGGAGCAATTACGATTGTGAATGGTGAAGAGATTACACGAGGGAGTATATATAATACCGTGGATCTTAACTTGTGTCTCAGTCCTGTCAAATTGTTCATTCATCACTCAACTATTTTCTGAATAGAGATAAATTCGTAACTCAAAATCTAAGGTATCGAATTCGGGTCCTGGTGTGAAACGGTTTCGATTTTAGTGATGAAAAATTGTATCTCTTGCAGATGATTCGAGCGGAAATGAAGCTACTCGTTTTGATAATTGGATTGACGATTAGTGGAATAAATTCTTCACCAAAATATGATTTAGGAGGGTAAAATATTTGATTCGATACTAATAAATTAATGTGATTGGAGGGTGATTATTTTACCAGTACCTTCAGGGAAGGAGGAATATTTCGAAAACTTCACATTATTTTTCAAATTTCATTCAATGCTCTTCTTAAAAACATTAGGTTTAGAGAATTATACAAGATAATCTGTATGAAATATTTCAGCCAATCTTATAGTACACGTTATGAGTAAAATAAAGCAAAAAGTCAAAGAGAATAGGAAAATCATTTTTTTAAGATTTGTTCCAAGCTCTGTGGACTTTTGGGGAAACGGTAAACATCAGGACCAAATGGCTGTACCTTCGCAGTCCCAAGCACGCGCTGAATCGCGTTCGGACTCGGGAAATGTCTCGAGGACCCTCGAAGATAGCAAGCCAGTGTCTGAAAGGAGCCAGGAACCTAGATTTGGATTTTCAAATCTCGAAACTTCAGGGGGAGGAACAGTGCGTAAAACACATTCATCTATATTTCCAGAGTCTTTTCAAAATTTTATGCATGATCAGATAATAATTTTCAACATAGGCCCAGAAAATGATCGATTTTTAGAATGAGAAATTTTTTTATGCAGAATGTAATGGAATTTGAAATTTTATTGATTTCTCAACAAATGGAAACCTATTCTAAAACAATACATAAAACTTTTTTTAAGTTCATTTCAAATGAGTTTCGATCAATGCTTAAATCATTTTCACTCCAAATTTGCAGTAAATTTTTTCGTCAGGGCCTAACGAAATTAGTATTTTTGTCATTACGGCCGTAAGGCGGAGCTGAGACGGGAATTTCTAGCACGAGTGATTGGTACAATTGTAAAACTTCCGTCTTACTCGTATCAAAATATACTATTTTGTCATTCCGTAGGGATGTAGGGAAGCGCGTTACGAACGCTGTGCGTCCGTAAATCCCTGCCTACGGCCGTTATGACAAAAATATCGTTCTTCGCTTGGCCGAAAAAAACGTTGCTAGCTCATATGATTGCATCCCTCGCCTTTGGCTCGGGTTGCAAACTCATCACCGAAAAAAAAATCAGTTTGAATCATACAGAAAAATCGGTCTGAATCAAGTCGGACTAAATCATGCCGGGAATCGACTCATTTCATGTAGAACTGACGACATGAATCAAGTCGGACTCGGACAAATGCAAACCAGAATATCGGTCTGATTCAAATCGATTTTTCGACTTGATTCAGACCAACTTCGGCTTGATTCAGGTGGATTTTTCGGTTTAATTTAAACCGATTTTTCGACTTGATTCAAATCGATGTCGACTTGACACGTTTCTACTTGAAATAAACTACTTTTCGACTTATAACAGACCGAGAATCCGGGTTGGCGTTGTCCGAGTGACTCGGCTTAATTCAAGCCCAAAATCAGTTAGAATCAAGCCGACGTTTACTTGAATCAGTACTTTTCTGGGTGGTATTCGCCAGAATAGTTTCTTTCTGCCTGGTGATACGAAATAGTATATTACAATACAAGTGAAAGAGTAGTTGTTGATGAGTGTGAGGGTTACAGGCCGAGTCGAAGTAGGTTTTTGTATATGTATCGTACGATATTTTATGATTTTAGTGAAAAAAGCGATCCTTTGCGCGCGAAGCGGGCAAAAAAGTGCCCTTTTTTCACTTGTATCGTAATAGTACATTATGTCATGAGACCCCCACTGAAAAAATTAAGAAAAACAATCAAAAAAAAATATTAAAAAACTTAAATCGTTATGACTTAATATAAAAATTAATAACTAGTAAATTCTGTTGGAATACCCAAAAACATGGGGTTGGTGATGAAATTTTTTTTTCATTAAGCAATTCCTATCGCGTATAACTAATAAAAAATTTGATTATCGCTAGGGATATGGGGTGAGTTCTTATGCCCCCACAAAAGTTGACCTAGGTGGGCTCATCCTTGGTGCAGTAATCGGCGTGGGAACAATTCTCATCATCCCTAAACTCCTCTACATCATTTCAGGCTCGTACGGAGCATACGCAAGAAGTAAGTCCCAAAAATACATATCAAAACCGTAGTTCTACGGAAAAATGTTGAAAACTTTTTTGTATCTGAAAACATATTATACAGAAGAACTATCTTGAGATTTTCATCTAGTATTAGGAGTATGCGCATCACTAACTCTGAAGATAATTCAATTACAAGAGAATAATATTTAGTAACAAACCCTTGCAAGTTTCAGAGTAAGGACTTTCCGTTCCACACTGTTAAAAATCTTTGCCAGTATTTTCCGGAAAATGACCTTGAATTCGATTCAAGGGGAAAAAGTCAATGGAATTTTAAATGTCTCTGAAAATTCAAGTAAAGTCCCATTTTTTTAGTTTTCAAGTGAATTTCGCTCAAAATTCTTGGAATTCCAGGAATTTTTCAAGGAATAGGGAGCTTGCATGAAGCTCAATTCTTTCTAATTCCTCTATTCACACATTCCTCGTAACATATGGATAGCTAAACGGCGAAAATTATGGAGAAATATTGCCTAAATGTCTTATGATAATTAATTGAAAATCAGTCGATTTCAACGTCAATTTTTTGGTCATGACGTCACGAAAACGGTCAGGTAATCTTCATTGGTCGAAAAAGAAGAGTGGGGAGTTGTCGACGTATGAAAAAATCGTATAGAAAGANCGTAACATATGGATAGCTAAACGGCGAAAATTATGGAGAAATATTGCCTAAATGTCTTATGATAATTAATTGAAAATCAGTCGATTTCAACGTCAATTTTTTGGTCATGACGTCACGAAAACGGTCAGGTAATCTTCATTGGTCGAAAAAGAAGAGTGGGGAGTTGTCGACGTATGAAAAAATCGTATAGAAAGATTCTATACGGATTGCGTATAGAAATTCTATAGGATTTCCGTATATGATATTCGGATATTTCTATAAGAATATTTTCTATACGAATTATTTCTATACATAAATTTTTACATAAATTTTTGTATTCATATAAAAGATGTCTAAACATTCCAGAGAAAAACGTAGAGAAATGTCGCAACTATACTATATTCCTATACATGTGGCAGTGGGACATATAGGATTAAACCTATAGAAATCGTATAGAAATAATTCGTATAAAACATATCCGTATAGAAATATCCGAATATCATATACGAAAATCCTATAGAAATTCTATACGCAATCCGTATAGAAATAGTATATTTCGTAACGAGTGCAAAAAAGTGTTTTTTGGCGAGTGGGAGGTTTATGTCACGAGCCGAAGGCGATTTTTTCATACGGGATCGTCCTCCATTGGCCGGCTCATCTCAAGATTGGGTATATCGGTCCGAGCCATTCTGTGATTGGTCCAGCGCTCAACCGTCTGTGTGACGTCATTAGCGATTTCAAAACGTTTGAAATCTTCAGCTACTTTCAACAACTTTCAACTACTAATTATTACTAAATTATTCAACTACTAATCTTCAACAACTTTCAACTACTAATTATTAAGTAATGAGCAATATTTCAAACGTTTGTGAATGGAAAATGAATTATTCAGGTTCCAAACTTGAGATTAGCAAATTGAAAAGAAATCCCTCCAAGTTCCCTATTCCTTGAAAGTTCAGGAGAATATGGAATTCAAGAAAAGATTTCTCTGAATTTTCCTGATTTTTCATTAATTTTTCTCGAGTTATTAACTTGAAATTTACAGTTCCTCCAGATTTTTCCATGAAATTATGAATTTTCAATGATCAAATTTCTTCAAACTTTAGTAAAAACGATACTTGTTAGAAATTTCCAAGACTCTTACCAGCAATTTCAGTGGAAAATTTTTAACAGTGTACTTCCTTGGTGAAACGGGGTGAAAATTTTGCAATTTTCTAGGAACCCAATATTTGGAGCACATAATATACGTATCCGTTCATACAAATTTTCGAGATATTTCTGTTTTTCCGTTTTTTCATAAAAAAATATTTGTAATCAATCCAGCTTGCGATAAAATTGAGATATCAACTTAACATTATTGGTAACTTCCCGACCCGAAGGGATGAAATTATTGCAATTGCCCCAAAAATCAAAAGTGGAAATTTTATATCTCCACGTTTCATGACCCCTCGAATCATTCTATGATGTTTTTAAACATGTTTTTTTGTACGCATCTCGATGTCTTCTACCTCGATCAGTCAAAACATGTAGGAGAGAGTGGGGCAAAATCGAGCAGCCCAAAAACAACTATTCGAAGCAAATTAAACAAAACAAAATTTTTTTACTAACTTTTGTTTATCAACTTTTTTTATTATTGGGAGTACTGATGAGAATAATAATTTTTGATTCGTCTTATAATTCAGTTTCTTATAATTGAATTGAATAGATTAGGACGATTACACTTTTCTTTTTTAATTCGATTGAAATCCAGCATATTTTCCTGTTTCCCCTACTGGGTCTTCTCTGGACTTTGGATCTGTTGTTTCATTTTCTTTTCAATTAATCTATTGATAAAATGTTCTCCCGTTCAAAATCTCTCAATAATTTTACATTCTACTGAATGGAAAATTATTATCCTCATTGGTACGTCCAAGATTAAAAAAAGGTTAATAAACAAAAGTTGAAAAAAAAATTTAATCACAAATTTATTTGCTTGAATTGCGTCAAACTGTCATTGTTCAACTGTTTTATTTTGTCCCACTCTCCCCTATACACCTTCATACAAAGTATTCGACACATTGGAATTGTTATAGCACCCATGAAGGTGACAATACACATCTGCAATTTTTGCTGCTAGTTAGTGTTGCAGAGTTATAAACTTTTGTAACATTTCAGACCATTCGGAATGTATTGATGACGAAAAAAAAAATAAGACATCACTCAGTGACATCCTCACTGTTATATGCTCGCTGCCCCCTGCTTGTTTATTTTTTCTCGTCTACCCTAAACAAAAATCCTAAAGAATTGTTTCCACAATTTCCCAGGTGACGATGTGAGTTTCACCAATGCAATGACGAAGTTGGATGACATTTTAGCGCGTCACGGTATCGATACAACGTCCTGCATGCAACGAGCTGTTTGCACGTATGCCCAAAAGGCAGCTGAGACCGTGAGAACAGCAAACGACATCGACGATGATGAGAAAATTTCCTCCTTTGACCGAATGATCGAAACAATTACCACAAATCAAGTGTTCCGAACTGCAATGCGAGGTACTGCGATTCAGGAGGCTATAGAAGCAGGACGAAAGGGTCAGAACTGCTCCAGACATTATCGACTGTGTGGATTTTCGATGGAATCTCTCTTGGGACTCGTCTCGAACATGTTGTCTATCGTTTCGAGCACCGAGCCCCATCCAACAGCTCCAGCAGCTCCTCTGTAATATTAAAGTCCCACATCTCATGTAAAATCATCTCAACAAAGATATTTAAATTTTTCCATGCCATTCATAGCCATTAAACCATAGTCCAACATTTTTCCCTTCAAATATTCAATAATTTGAGGACGATAAATGATTTATGACCCTGTGTAGATGAATATTTTTCGTTTTATTTGAATTCGACTATCTAGACTCATCACGAGGCAACCTCGGATATATTTACATATAATACAAATAAAATTTTCTAATGAACTTTATCGCAATTACTCTGTGCATAAATAGAGCTCTGAACATTTTGAGTATTAAAAATAAATCGTGGTGAGAACATTAATGTGCGGATGTTGTAAATGTTAAAGCGGGCAAAGGCTTTTCCAATTCAAATAATCCATCTTATTCACACCTATGAATTTCTAGAATTTGGGTCAAATGGTAAACGTGACGAGTCGAAAGTTAAAGTTTTGTTTCCATCATTGATTTGACGACTACACGAGGGAAAAATGAAGTCTAAATCACGGTTGTTTACTCTCCATAACTTGCGTTAAAAAGTCTATCTTGCTTAGCGATGTCGAGGTGTTCACAGTGAAATCTATACGACATCCAACGACTTTTTATAAAAAATTTGCCTTTACATTTTTTCCCCACAGGCGATAATTTTCCATATAATTCTAATAGGGAGATTGTAAAACGAGACGAACCAAGACTGCTTCGTGATCATTTTTTAATCCTATCTCAGGAATCAAAGGAACTAGCAAAATTATCGTAGACAACATTTATTCATCCCTTATTATGCTCTCAAGTTCTGATGAGAATCCGTCTTTCCTCTTTAACGGAACTTATCATCGGAGTAAAAATTGGATTCCAAGATTATTCGTCGTCAGACGACTATTTAGCAAAACCCAAATTTTTACATCATCAATAATCTCGGTATCTATAGTGTAAGAATATGGATTTTGTTGAATAGTCGTCTAACGACGAATAATCTTGGGATCCAATTTTTACTCCGATGGTAAATTCCATTGCCTCTTAAGGGGAGACTACTATGAGTTTAAAAATTCGCAGGCTACTGGAGTGAGATTTATTATGCATTAAAGATCGATTATGTATGTCTGAAAACGAATAATTAGTGAAAGAAAATTAATTGTTTATTGTTCGTTTGCCCCACAAACACTTGAAGTGTTAGAAATAGTCCGGGGCCTCCAAATAGTTTTTTTTTTCAAAATTTTCAAAAAAAGCAAGTGTATATTAGCAATTACGAGTTAATTTTCTTTGGAATTCGACTCTTACACAGCTAATTTCTTTTTTTTTATTCAAAAAATTGCACTGTTCATATAAAATAGCAAAAAAAATTATCTTCAAAACATTTAAAATATATTCTCGATTCTTTCAGAAACATTTTTCCAGCTATTTTCATGAATGGTACAATTTTTTATATTAAAACAAGTGGGAAATTGCTCTTGTATTGAATGTAGTATAGTTACTTTTGCTAATAAATTAGCAATATGCTTCCAAATTTTGCACATCATTTCCTTCTACCATGTATAATTCATTGTTTATTTCATTTTGTTATGTTGAATAAAATTTTCTTTTAGCTAAATTTGTCAGATTTTCACCTTAGTTGAATGTTATCAGCGTCATTATTCTTATTATCCTTTTTCTTCTGTACAATCGATTCTCTTTTTTACAGTTCTATCTCTCCCCTCAGCCTTTCGATAAAATATTAATAGCACAATTTTATTTACACATCCTTGAATGAATTTCAAACATCACATTTGAAGAAACCATTAGAAAACTCACTTTCAGTGAAATTCATGAAAAATTCAAAATTTTCAACAATCATAAAAATTAAATCAACCAATATGGCTATCGTAACCATCTTTTAACATTAACTTAATGGCATTAGAACAAAGATTTTAAGCTATATTGAATTCATTTGAAGCATTATATTCACAGATATCCCCGGAATTCTAATTTTCAAACAATACACAATTTTTGAAAATTTGCGAATAAATTCAAATAACGATTATTGCTATCGCCTTCATCTTCGAACTCGGTCAAAGGGACATCTAAAAAAATTTTTAAGCCATTCAATCAATGCAGAACATTTCTTTTTTAGTTATTGTAAAAAAACATTTTTTAAAAATTCAAAAAATTAATAAATGAATTAAATTTTAATTAATGGCAACTGGTAGGGCTCAACAATACCTACATTTGAGGAAAAAAAGATTCAAATTCCATCTATTCATTAGCGAACAAAGAAACATTTGTTTACATACGTACGCACGTACATACATACGTAAGGACACGGTTTAAAAATAGCATTTTCAGACTTTTTGGATCATAATGGGTCAATATAACAAAAGAATCCAAAACTTGAATTTGAACGATTACAATGCTTCCATTCGGAAGCAAAAAAATACAAAATTTGCTGTGTAGACGTCGAATTTTGAAAAACTAGTTCGTAATTGTTACTGTACACATTTTTTCAAAAATTTTGAAAAAAAAACCTCTGTAACTCAAAAATTCCCCCTCTACTGGGTTCCCACTTTGTCGTAGTGAGGGGGCTCGGTCGCGGGCGGTGGAGGTCTTAAGGACTACCGCTGCCCGCGGTCGCTAAGAGGAGTCCACCCAATCCATGTGTGTGAGCGGCGTAAGCCATGGCCTCGGCCATACCGTGCCTAAGGATGCGTGGCACAGGGGGAGCTGTGTCGCTAACGGTGCCTCTCAGAAACCTGGGCGACCTCTGAGAGTAGTCTTGGGTGTAACCCACCCGAGACAAGCCAAGCCCTGGGCAATCGCGGCAATGCACCAGGTGAAAACGCTTAACCGCGGTACTCGTGGGACTAAAATGGAAACCAATTTAAAAAATCTTAATATTGAAAAAGCAACTTCGGGTGGGGCCAGCGATGGCGAACACACGAAGTCTGACAAGGCTGACCAGTCTGGTACCGATGTGAATCGGGTCAGACTGAGTGGAGCCGAGAGAAGACGTCGCAAGAGAGCGAAGCTGCATCAAACCTCGGGGGCGATTGCAACCTTGACGGATGCAGCAGCGAAGGTCGATGAGGGAAGGGGGGAGGGGGCTACGAGGAAGGCAATAAAACGCCTTCCATCAGAGCGTACTACGCCAAGCCCCTCAGTCAGACCGAAAGAAAAGAGAATGAGAACGCAGGATCAGGGCACATATGCTCAGAACACTACGAGCTCATTCAAGTTTGCAGTTATGCCGGAGTCATATCCGGATCAGAAACTGGGCACTGAAGAGGTAACGGAGGTGAAGAAACTCCTGAAGAGGGCCATTCTGGCGTTACCTGACGGGGTGAAAGCACCCACCTTCAACGGTGTCTGGGAAAGAGAAGGTGTGGCAATGGTGTGCTGCACTGATGAGGAAACGGGAAATTGGCTGAAAAGCCTTTTCCCCGAAAACAAAATAGCTGGACTTACTGTACGTGTGGTCGCAGCCTCGGAGCTTCCCAAGAAGCACAGGGTTGTACTACACGTGGAAGACCCAGATCTAACCGCTCAAGAAGCACTGTGCTTCCTTGAGAAACAAAATGCAGGACTGCAGGCCAGAGAGTGGGTTGTCGCTCGGGGCAGTGAGAGTAGGGACGCGAAAAGTGCCCACTTCGTTGCGCTGATAGACGACCGATCACTCTCTGTTCTGAAAGCCTGCAACTTCAGACTGCACTGCGGGATTCAAAAAGCTACTGTCAAGCTGCTTGCGAAAGACCGTGGTGAAAGTCAGAAGAAGGGTACATAGAGGTACCAGGAAAGTAGTCATCATTATGGCTGCAACCCGGGTGCACATTGTACAGATAAATTTGCACCACAGCAAAGCAGCCTCGGCTACTCTAGTCAGGCTGTTAGCTGGGATGCAGACTGTCATAGCAATGATCCAGGAACCATGGATAGTGGACAATGCTATTAAGGGCCTCAGTGGTTGTGGCAGAATCTATCACGCAAACACTCAGGAGAAAATTAGATCTTGCATTGTTATTAAAGGACTAGACTCTTTCTTCTGTTCACAGGCTAGTGAGGGAGACCTGGCTGTGGCACAAGTGGATCTGGGCCTGGGACAAGGCGAGGAAATGAGCCTGGTTGTAGGGTCAGTTTACATGCCCTATGACTCGGCTGAACCACCTCCTTCGAAAAAAGTAAAGGACCTATGCAACCATGTGAAGGAAAGGGGACTTGAACTCCTGCTAGGTTGTGATGCCAACTCGCACCATGTAGCATGGGGGAGCACCGGCATTAACGGCAGGGGGGAAAGCCTCCAGGAATTCATAATGGGGGCCGGTCTAAACATCCTTAATAGGGGGTCAGAACCTACCTTCATAGATCGGAGACGACAGGAGGTCATAGATATCACTCTGGGGACGGATAGAGTGGCAGACATGATTGGGGACTGGAGGGTCTCAAAGGACCTCTCAGCGTCCGATCATCAAACCATAAGAATGTCCATCCACACAGTGAAAGAAACGGAATGGGTGAGAAACCCAAGACGAACAAACTGGGGAAATTACCGAGAGAGTCTATCTGACAATCTCAGGGATATCATCCTCAGATTTAACAACAAAAAGCAGCTGGAGGAGGCTTCGATTGCCCTAAACCAGGCCATCATGGACTCCTTCGAGACAAACTGCAAGCTTATCCCGAAAGGGCAGCCCACTGAGACTCCTTGGTGGTCAGAGAGGCTCGGTGGGCTGAGGGGCAAAGCTAGAAAAGCTTTTAACAAAGCTAAGAACATGAGAGCGGGCCCCCGTAAGGAAGACGCATGGAAAACTTACAGAGGCTTGCTCGCAGATTACAACAAGGCAATAAAGGCAGCCAAAGAGGACTGCTGGAGGGCTTTCACAAGCAATGTGGAGAGTCAATCGGAGACCTCTAGGCTGGCAAAAATCCTTGGAACAAACAAGACTCCATATCTAGGGAGCCTACAGGCACCAGATGGCAGCCACACGGAAACCATGGGAGAGACTCTGAAACTCCTAATGAACACCCACTTTCCAGGCTTCATACAGGCCCAGGAGAGAGATAAAGAAACAATGCAAAATCAGAGGGATGTCTACGAAACCCATGATTGGGCATTGGCAAATAAAGTAGTGCAGCCCTGGGGGGTCAAGTGGGCCATCAAAACCTTTGAACCCTTCAAGGCACCGGGACCAGACGGGATCTACCCAGCCCTATTACAGGAAGGGATAGAGACTATCACGGGACCCCTAACCAAGATACTCAGAGCTAGTATAGCCCTGAAACATGTCCCTAGTGTGTGGAATGAGACTAGGATAGTATTCATTCCCAAGCCGGGAAAAACCGGTTATATAAAACCAAAAGACTTCCGTCCTATAAGCCTCACATCCTTCATCCTGAAGACCCTGGAGAGGCTGGTGGATAGACACATCAAGGCCGGGCCCTTGGCTGACAGACCCCTCTCCCCCTGTCAATATGCATACAGAGAGGGAAGATCAACAGATACCGCCTTACATCACCTGGTGGGACTGATTGAGGGACAACTGGCGGTCAAGGGTTTTGCCATAGGCGCCTTTCTGGATATTGAGGGGGCTTTTGATAGCACTTCGAATCCGGCTATAGAAAAAGCCATGGAAGAACGACAGGTGTCCAAGACTATCATTGCTTGGACACAAAACATGCTGAAAAGCAGAAGACTGTCGGCAGGACATGGGAGGGCATGTGTGGAGGGACGTCCGACTAGGGGCTGTCCGCAGGGGGGAGTTCTCTCGCCCCTGCTATGGAACCTGGTTGTAGATGGACTTCTAAATCAACTAAGTGAGGCCGGCTTCCACGTCATCGGTTTCGCCGATGATGTGGCAGTTGTTGTGAAAGGCGGATTTCTGAGGGTGCTAAGGGACCTGATGGCAACAGCCTTCAATATCATTGAGGACTGGTGCAGGGTAACTGGCCTATCGGTAAATCCAGCCAAAACAACAATCCTGGTTTTCACCAGAAATTATAAACTGGAAAAGATCCAACCTCTGAAGCTAAATGGCTCGGAGATTAACTACACCAGCAGAGTGAAATATCTGGGTGTCCTCCTGGATAATAAACTCAGCTGGAAAGAACATATCTGTACTCAGAGAAATAAAGTGTTTGCCTCTATGTGGGCATGCAGGAGAGCTGTGGGCAGGACATGGGGACTCAATCCTAAAATGATGCTCTGGCTCTACCAAATAGTTCTACTTCCGAGACTGTTATACGCTGCGGTCGTCTGGTGGCCGAGGGTGAGTAAGACGGAAACAAGGAACCTGTTGAAAAGCCTACAGGGAACCTTCCTGAGGGCTGCAACAGGAGCCATGAAATCGACACCTACTGAGGCGCTAGAAATAGCACTCAGTATCCCACCCCTCGACCTTAGGGTTGTGAGTTGTGCTACCACAACTGCATATAGACTAAGGTGCCAACTAGAATGGAAGATGACGGGCCAAGGCCATACAAGGCTTAGCCTAATCAATGATCGACCCTTCATAGGTAAGACGGATAGGATTCCTAGGAAGTATCAGATCAGGAAAACTTTCAGAACGAGTATACCACCCAGACAGGAGTGGCTAGACTCGAAACGTAAACCAGGACCAAGAGAGGACTACTGGTTTACGGACGGCTCTGGCTTCAATGAAAGTTTTGGGGCAGGCATCTACCGTCTGAAAGATGGCTTCGGAGAGAGTTTTCCGCTGGGCCATCATTCAACCGTCTTTCAAGCAGAGATGCTGGGCATACTTAAGTGTGCAGAGTATCTGAACGCGAGAGACACAAAAAAGATGAAAATATTCATCTGCAGTGACAGCCAGGCGGCGATACACGCCCTGGAAAAACCCACTACAGAGTCACAGGTGGTGTGGGAATGCATGCAGGCATTGGACACACTGGGTAAAAACAACCGGGTCACCGTAACCTGGGTGCCAGGTCACCATGGGATTCTGGGTAATGAAGAGGCAGATAGGCTGGCCAAGGAGGGTACAGAAAGTGTGCCCTCACACGGCCTGCTTGGCATGCCCTTCGCAGTGGGAAAAACTCTTATTAAAGATCATTTCCAGCGGGATCATGTCAGGCGTTGGGAGAAAGTTGCGACCTGCAGACAAGCGAAACTGCTTATGAGAGGGCAACTAAGAGTTAGGACCAGAAAGCTTCTGGAGTTGCACAGAGGGGATCTGAGGGTAGCAGTAGGGCTCCTTACGGGTCATACAGCTCTCAGAGCTCATCTGTTCAAGATGAAACTTGCAGAACAAGAAGACTGCAGACTGTGCGGAGGCGATAAGGAGGGCGTCATCCACATTTTATGTGAATGCCCCCTATTAGCACTCCGTCGCTATAAAATCTGGGGCCAGGCTTTCCTGAAACCAGAGGACTTACAACAAGCGGCTGTCACCAGCCTTATTAGCCTAGTGAGAAACACAGGGCTGGGGCTGTGTGACTGACCGAAACTAAGGCGGAAGTTACAAAAGATCGTATGATTTAGGTGACTCTGGGCGCTTTAAGTGACCAGCCGCACTTTTTTTTATTCTATTCTTATTCTAACTAAAAAATTAGGGGTATCTAGACTATTTTAAACATTTTAAGCATCTACGGGACAAACGAACAATAAACAATTAATTTTTTGCACTAATTATTCATTTTTAACCACATATAATCGGTCTTCAATGTATGAAAAATATTTTAAAACTCATAGTAGTCTCCCCTTATAATCGGAGATGTTTGTGCGAAACGCATCCTGATAACCCGACTCGGCTCGTTTGTTTCCATTCTGTGGCTAATCCATTAATGAAATAACAAAACAAGATATGTGAACTGGAATTGTTATAGACCACTAACTCACCACTCCCCCTCCCCCAATTAATTCTATATTTTCCCTGCAATATCTCCGCCCTTCCTCCCGACGATCACAGCCCCCCTCATATCAATCATCAAGAGCGTGAAGGAACGAATCACTCAGATCGCACTCATTATCAAAATCGCTGACGACGGGTGACGAGAACGCGTGAATCGCTTCTTCATAACTCTCGTCATCGTCATCCAGCGAAGTCCTGTACTATTTCATGTGTTTTCTCTTGGGCAACAACAGAACAACGCCAAGGGCAACACAAATGTGCCAAAAACTATGGATAATGTGATAATTTCTCCTAGTTTGGAGGAAAGCATAACAAATTAATCCAAGGGAAACAAGCCCCAGCCCTGCAGGGAGATAGATATTTTTGTATCTTGAGGCAGGGTATCCGAAGTTTCTCTGTCTTCTACACCTGGAACCCCAGGAGAATCCAATGAGTCCAAACCCGGTGACAGCAGGCAGCAGGAATACCCACAGAGCAGTTCTATCTAATTCTGCTGCTAATGCAAGAACAATTGCTCCTGCTATTTGACAAAATGCTGTAAGCTTGGAACCGATGGATGCCATTGCTACCAGTGTCACCCAGATAGACAAAAGAGCATTGTAAAAATCGCAAAACTGGAGAACACTAAGTCTGGTGATGCAGACGCCCATGACATCTCCCCCCGCTTCACAGGCGTGATAAAACGTCGAGAAGAACATTACAGCCCCATAGACAACCGCCTCTGTGTAATACTCTCGTTTGAATGCTATATAAACCGACGCTATAAATGCGAGGTTGCTGAGAGTGAGCATCAGGAATCTCACAAGGATTCTGCCTCCTGTTAGGACGTATGTGTCATCTGCGCAGTCGAATCCTCTGTATCCTCCATAGCAGTAACAAGCTGAGAAGGCGAAACCCCCACTGTGCAAGTAGGTGTTGCATTTACCGTTGGAACTGCATTTTCCTTCGATGCAGGGAGAGGAACCTATGCTGGATTCAATTTGAGTGGAAGCCGGATGCATGCAACTGCAGGAGCACGACAGGAATGTACAGGGGATGCATGTGCAGTTGGAGGGAATTGTAAAAGATTTCAAGGTCAAGTGCCAGGTGCCTGGCTCTGGGAAAGGTACGTGCAGGAATTGGGGGGTGGTAGAATTGATCCACAGGTCGGCGGGTATAATGGAGGTTGAGATGGTGCAGCTGCCGTTTTCGGTGATTGTTGGGTAAGTCCCTGAAAATTAAGAAGATTCTCATTTTAATACCAAAGCGGTGGAATGTGCTAGATCAACTTGAATTCAAGATGAATTTCCAATGAAGGGGTCGGAATTTAAAGGGCATGAATACTCAATTTTCATGGTGAACTGTTTTGTTGCTCTCACTTCACTCCTCAAAAATTTAATTTTTTAAAATTGGCATCGAAGGATGATTGTCTCATTTTCACCTTTCTTGGAGGATCATAAAAAAATATAATCTATCTATATTATAAAGATCCAAATCGATTTCTGGTGATAAAAATTCGGTACTCGAAATTAAGAATGCAAAATTAAAGGTCACAAAAGTCAAAATAAGGGTCACGAGGGTCAGAACAAGGATCTCAAGGGTCATAATAACGGTCATGAGGCTCAAAGTAAGGGTAGAAGGTTCAGAATAACGATCATGAGGGTCATACGGTGATCATAGGGGGGGTCATATGGGGGTTGGCGAGCGGGGCGAACAGGGGGCGTAGCAAAGATAACAATCATAAATTCAATCAATAATCAAATTTAGATTGGTTTCTGGCAATAAAAATTCAAATGATTATTGGAGCTGCAGATGAAAAGATTTCTATGACTTGAAAATCAAATGTCAAAAAATTGCAGATCTAAGGAGACATACTGAACACTGAGAATTACAAAATTCCTCTGGATTTCTTTTGAAATTTTATTGCAAATTCTATTATTTTGTCTCCGATTCTATTGAAAAACACCACAAGTTTACTGCGTGTTTTTTATAGTCCAGTAGAAACTAAAAAAAAATTCACCGGTTTTTCGTTGCAAGGGTTAACTTGCCAACGCGGCCATCGCCCGAGGGCCTTCAGCCAGGAAATGTTGAATGTGGAGTGGGTTTTTTCACTTGGAAAATCTGTGGAATATTCAGTTTGAAAATTGTGTTAAATTTTCAGATGAATATTATGTGGAAATTTGTGATGAAAAATTGGTGTGGAATTTTGGCCCGGCCGGGGCTCGAACCTGGGAGCTTGTGGGGTTGCGAATCTCATGCTGCTACCAAGTGCGCCACACAGCCGGGCTCAGTAGAATAGTACATTAGAGTACAAGGGCACAAATTTCGTTTTCAACGAATGTGTAGTTTACAGGCCGAGCCGAAGGCGAGGTCTGTACACACATTCGTTGAAAACGAAATTTATTACCGAGTGCTCTATAATATTGTATGTCAAGTCGTGCAGAAGTCGAGTTTTGAGCAGGCTGCGCGAAGCTCAGCGTGCGATAAACTCGACTTATTGCACGGCGCGACAGAAACTATTTTATAGAAAAAATCAGTAGAATTTGATCTTTCTATACAATTTCATCTATTGAAGTATTTCTACAGGAATTCGTTTACATAAATTTTCCAAGTTTTTTTCACTACTTTGTTTCTTCTCTCATTTGAAAAAAAAATCAAAGAAAAAACTTACAAAATCTAAGCCGAGAAATTTCTAAAAAATATCTCAATAGAATAAGTTGGATACAAAAATTAAATTCTATTTACTTTTTCTTTAAAATATTTTCCATTGAAAAAAAACGCGCGGAATGACTGAGGAATTTCTCAAGAAAATGGTCGAGAAACTAATAGAATGTTCAATAGAAATTGAAGAAAAATCCAAAAAGCGTTGTAATAAAGTTCTAAGGAAATAATACGCAGGCAAAACGTGCAAAGAAATCATTGTCGCCCACGATGAAAGTTATATCGCGACAATATGTTAGCTAGATTTTAGGAAATTCGATACAAAAATTAATACTTCACCTAATGATATACATCCAACAACTACAGTCTCCCGGCTTTCGTTTAATAATTTGATTCCAATTGACAAAGTTCCACCGACATCATAAATAGAACCGATTCTAAAGCTGAGAACAGTCAATCCATTGCTAGAAATGTTTACTGGAGTTGCGGTTGTTGAGTTTTCTCTAAAAAAGTCGTAATCAAACGTGAAGAATTCCGGTAGAGTTTTCCTCACTAACTCGATTTCATTTTGTCTTATCTGCTCCTCGGAAGGCTGTACGAAAGACAATGTGATATTCGTGGAATTCCCGGCGAGATGCCGCAGATTTAGATAATGAAAATATCCTGGATATGGGATGAATGATAGTGACTTATGTGTGAAATTAATCACGACACTCGTCACGACGTCCTCCACAATCAAATTCGCTAATACTGTACACAAATCTGCACAAGTTGAGGAAATTGAAATATTTACAGGTTCTTTACTCTCAGAAACGAGGAATTGCAATCGCGCTGAATTAATTGTTTCATTCAAAAATATTGTATGATTCTGAGTCGGGTCAATTATTATAGCGATTTTCGCTTTCTCTATTGCCAACTCTGAATCCAAAACCGTTGAGCATGTTACACCAATGCCTGAAAAAACCAATAAAACTTTCTTAGCGAAGAAGACAAAATCGGTCACAACAATCTACACAAATAACATTCATACTAGTGATAACATGATCATAATTGTCGATTGAATGATTCATTCAGTACTGAGGTGATGAAACAATATCCCCGGAAAGCACGTATGGACAAAACCACGGCCAAGCCACGGATTTTCATGGTCATTTCATAGTTTTAAATCCTCATTTGGTGGTCATTTGGTGATCATTTGGGACGTGTTTATAGCCAAGGGGAGAGGGATAATATTGGACCCTTGATCTCATCCCTGAGAATTGGCCCCCATTTTAATCCTCAATAATAAATGGCCCTCAGTTTGACCCTTAGATTTGAATCCTCAAATTTTGACCCTTATTTTGACCCTTACATTTTGACTCTTAAATTTGTACCCTTAAATTTTTACCTTTCTTTTGGCCCTTAAATTTCGACCCTTATATTTCGACCCTTATATTTTGACCCTTAAATTTTGACCCCGAAGACTGAGTCTCATTTCTAACCCTTATGACTCTTTATGACTCTCATTTGGACTTTTATTCCTGATCCCGGCAATAATTTTTTCACTGACTTTTTCTATAATAGGGGAGGATGGGGCAAAACGGCCCCCTTCAATCGTCAATATTTTCCGATTCAATAATCCGATTGGGATGAGTTGGAGCTCCTTTTGAAGAATGAAAAATTATCTTCAAAATGAAGTTGAAACTGGGAATTTTCACAATGTCATTCACAAGTTATTGACAATTGAAGGGGGACCGTTTTGCCCCACCCTCCCTTAATTGCAATGACAAATGTAAAAACACTCCAAATGTTCGAAGAAAAGAAAAAATGGAAATCGGTCAGGAAGTTATTGGTTCGCCCCATAATGGGTGAAACGCAGGAATTTTTCTCTCCCAATTCCATCAAAATATGTAGTGGTCAAAATAGAAAAGTCAAAATATAAAGGTCCAAAGACAAGGATCCGTACATAAGAGCCAAAACATAAAGGTAAGAAAATAAAGATCAAAATATGAGTCAAACTATAAGGGTCGAAATATCACAGTCAAAAAACGAAGGTCAAAATATAAGAATCAAAATATAAGTGTCCAAAGCTAAGGGTCAAAATTTAAGTGTCAAAATACAGGGTGTAACTTTATCGGTGGAAAACCTCGCGGTCACAGGTTCAGAAAGACCCCCTGAATGCTAGAAAAATCTAAAAAAAAAAAATTGATCAGGCACTTTTGAATAATTAATAATTAACGTGAGCCAATGAGGCGCCCGGGTTATGGCAGGCAGAAGTGAGTGGTAGGGGTCGACTGAGCTGTGGCAACACCGCGTTATGGAGACGTCAGGACATGATAGGCGAGTGACTGTTCCGCCGTCAATTCGGATTCAATATCAGGAAGTGGCGCGCTCGGGCGGCAAAATTGAGAATTATTGAAAATTCATTTAAACGACAATAAACACCCAGATAACCATGAGGGCATTACCGTGCAATTTGAGGGTGATTTTTCATCCGAAAACCTGTTATCCTGCGATGGATGCACACAGATGTACTATTCATGTGCAATCTCTGCACCACGAATGCGCAAATGTGCATTTATTAATTTATGTGCAATAGGTAGAAAACAGGTGTACGACTACTGCGCAATAGGTGCGCCACAAGTATACTACGCGTGCACAATAGGTACGCCTCAATTGCAATAGAAGTGCACAATCGGTGCACTACTCGTGCGCAACTGGTGCGGAATACGCGCTTCACTCTTACGCAATCGATCCATCTTATGTATACTAGTGGTGCACAATTGGTACGCCACAAGTGCACTACTCGTGCGCAGTTATTGCGCCACAAGTACACTACTAGTAGTACTATACGTGCGCTACAAGTGCACTATACGTGCGCAATAGTTACAAAAGGGGTGCACTACTCGTCCGTAATCGGTGCAAAACGTGTACACTATCGGTGCACAATTGGTACGCCACGAGTGCACTAATCGTATACAGGTGGTTCGCCACAAGTACACTACTAGTGCGCAATTGGTGCGATTACAAGAGCACTACCGGTGCGCTACAAGTGCACTGCTGGGGCGCAATCGGTGCGCTACAAGTGCACTATATCAGTAGTGAACTTGTAGCGCACCGATTGCGCACTAGTAGTGTACTTGTGGCGCAAAATGACTGCGCACGAGTAGTGCACTTGTGGCAAACTACCTGTACACGAGTAATGCACTTGTGGCGTACCAATTGTGCACCACTAGTATACATAAGATGGATCGATTGCGTAAGAGTGAAGCGCGTATTCCGCACCAGTTGTGCACGAGTAGTGCACCGATTGTGCACTTCTATTGCAATTGAGGCGTACCTATTGTGCACGCGTAGGACACTTGTGGCGCACCTATTGTGCACTAGTCGTGCACCTGTTTTATATCTATTGCACTTAAATTAAGAAATGCCCATTTGCGCAGTCGTGGTGCGCAGATTGCACACGAATAGTATATCTGTGTGCATCTATCGCATAATAACGGGTTTTCGGATGGAAAATTAACCTCAAATTGCACGGTGATGTCCTCATGGTTATCTGGGTATTTATTGTCGCCTAAATGAATTTTCAATAATTCTCAATTTTGCTGCCCGAGCGCGCTACTTCCTGATATTGAATCCGAATTGACGGCGGAACAGTCACTCGAATATCGTGTTCTGACGTCTCCATAACGCGGTGTTGCCACAGCTCAGTCGACCGCTACCACTCACTTCTCCCCGCCATAACTCGGGCGCCTCATTGGCTCACGGTAATTATTAATTATTCAAAAATGCCTGATCAAATAATTTTTTTGAGATTTTTCTAGCATTCAGGGGGTCTTTCTGAACCTGTGGCCGAGAAGTTTTCCACCGATCAAGTTACACCCTGTATAAGGGTTAAACCAGGATCAAAATCTAACGGTCAAAATCTACAAGGCGAAATTCAAGAGCCAAAACAAGGGTCAAAATATAAAGGTCAAAATCAAAAGGCCAAAACAAGAGTCAAAATTTAAAGGTCCAAATCTAAGCGCCAAAACATAAGAGCTTAAATAAAGGTCAAACTGAGGGCCAATTATTATTATGGATCAAACTGAAGGCCAATTCTCAAGGATCAAATCGGGGGTCCAATATTATCCCTCCCCCCTTGGCTACGGACACGTCCCAAATGTCCACCAAATGAGGATCAAAAACCATGAAATGACCATGAAAATCCGTGGCTTGGCCGTGGTTTCGTCGATACGTGAGATAACGAAATCTTTGTGCGGTTCAGAAATTGACATCAATCACTAGATTATTAATATTAAGAGAAGTTGCACCTTAAAATACTTAAGGTTTATTTATCTTCATTGAAATTTGAAAATTAATAAAATAATTGATAATCTAAATTTTCAATTTACTATTGAGTAAATAATTCTAAATTTCATAAAAGGATTTTCGATTAACAAAATAATCGTCAATCTCCCAAACTCAATTATTGATTGATGAAATCATTCGGAATTTGCATATTTAATTAACGATTAATTTGATTAATTAAAAAATTGTTGAGTAAATAATGTTTTACTTAATAAATTGTAATATAAACTAATTGACTAATTCAAAATTCAACTTTATTAAAAATTTATAATTATGCCAATGTCTGTTAAGGTTTTCCTCAATAGCTCCCATTTTTGTCAACAATAGAAAATTCTAGTGCATTTACTGAGGAATACTATGGGAAATTTTCTTATTTTTTTTGTATTTTTATATTAAAAAATTCCGTGTCTTTCTCAAAAGAATAACACAAAACAATCAATGGATCTTCATTTTTCTATAAAAAATATTCTGTATAAATTTTCTCTATTGGAAATCCTCAGCCTAAATATTCAGTCCTCATCAAAATAATCAGTGTAAATGAATGAAAATCTGTCAATTTTTTATATATCCGAAATCTACAGGAAAATATCAAAATTTCCAAAAGAATTGCCTAGCCAATACGCCGGAATTCCCCTAGAATTCTTCCATTTGTAAATAGGTAATTTTTCATTGCATTTATGGGTATTAATGAAAAATTAACTTTGTTGAATATAACAAGAGGAATTTCTCAGAAATTTTCAGGAAAAAATGGAAGACGGAAACTGTTCTTGTCACTTGCCACAAATGAGTGATAATAATGGCTCGATATATTTATCACCGATTGAAAAAAAAAAAGTGAAAATAATTATTTTGTGAAAAGAGAACATTGTTCCCTTTACTTCCGCCTCTTTTTTTACTCGGTTTAAGTACCTTGCTGAGTAATTTTTTCAGAATCAGGATCACTCCAGGACCTAAATGCAATTGCATACCAGTCTCCTGGAGCTGGGTTAGGCCTCTGAAGTTCATATTCATCAAGTTCACTCTTGAATGTGAAATTAGAAAACGTCCTCCTTCTCTCAAACAACTTAGCCCCAATTTTCGATCCGTCTGGACTCCCCAGGGCTATACTCCCGTATTTCAAATAAACAGTCACATCTCGAGGGGGGCAACGACCGATACCACCGGTTTTGAGCTCTTTCGCTGTGAATCTAATTTTTAAAAAAGTCATACACAAAAATTAAATGAAATAACTGAAAAATTGAATTATATTACATTTCCGAAGAAATTGATTTACCTACTTGAACAGACTGTTGATTACATTCACTGGTACGTGAAAGTGAACAATTGATATAGTGTGATATCCACTGAAGTCATCGAGAACAGTGTGAGACTCGAGAGCAATTCGCTCCAGTTTTCCACAGACAACCACGTGCATCGCCCACCATATCATCAACGTAACGACGTAATTCTTCGGCATGTTCGGTGATTCCCACTGGCCCACATACCAATTTCAGATCTTCAAGAAAAATCCACACAATAGAAATAGTCATTAACTGCACTCAATCAATGATTTTGTTATGAATAATTAATGATGACTAGCGAACGGGCCATTAATTTATACTATTTTATTTTGATTTATTTTCTTTCCAGTTACGTCTTCACAATTAGTTATAATTTTATCCGTTTTTATTCTTATTATATATTTTTTTCCTTAATTCACAAGTTCCAACATTGATTGAAGAGCAATTCAGTAGTAAAGTGGTAAACCGAGTTAAGTCGATTTTCACTATTAGCCAGTTTTTGCTGAATATCTCGGAATCTAAGAGAGATAGCAAAATTTTTCTCACGACTTTCTTTATAACGCTCTATTGGCTCTACAAAAAAGGTCATGAGAAAAATCTTTCTATCTCTTTTAGATTCCGAGATATTCGTCAAAAACTAGCCAATAGTAAAAATCGACTTGACCCGGTTTACCGCTTCGCTACTGAATTATGTTAAAGATCAATGAAAAGGGTTAATTTTTTTTGTCATCAAAACAAAGGCATTTGAAACCTCATTCGGATAACAAAAAAATCTCTCCATGTATTACTGAAATTTTTTTAAATCTATTTCCCCTTCATATGGTAAATGGATATCGGCACTCCTCATTCCTATGGTCGTATTCCAATTATTATTATAAAAATTAAATGGAAAAAGAATTATAAATAGATAATCGGCTAAATAAAAAAACAATAAATAAAAAAATGATTTTTTTTTCTTATTTACGTCGGCGAGAACTTCGAATCACTTTTTTTCTCCAAGTATTTGAGGGATATCAATATTTCAGTGAGAAGAAATTTTTTTTTTATCGTTATTTTACATCGCTTCGACCCGTTTAGGGTATACTGCGATGATGATCAAAGACTAAATGGTTAGATCGCACCATTCTACCCGGCCGGGATTTGAACTCGGAACCTTTCGCATGTGAGGCAACGAACTTACCCACTGCGCCAAGCCACCGGGCGTGAAAAGAAATTGAAAAAGTGCAAAAAAAGTGGGAAGCAATAAAAAAAATTAATTTTTCAATGTTCCCGGAAAGTTCTAAAATTAATATATTTTTTCGAATAATGGAAGAATACCCGTAAATTCGATTTCTATCCTCGTCTTTTGATAGAATGAATAAAATAAATGACAGAAATTGTGAATTGTAGACTAAAAATTTTATCGGATTATTATTATGTAATGTAATGTAATGGCATGTTTCAATACAAACGCCGTATTTCCTCGACAAAATGACCTGTAGTCCATAATCCAGGCCTCCATTTTTTGACACATTTAATGATTTGTATTGAGACCTTGTCTACTGAAATTGTAATCATTCACTCACATTCTAAGTATCCGATATGCATGCTGAATTTCATTACATTGAAATGTATCGACCCAATGATACATTGTCAAATCTGAATTCCCCATTATATAATGTGGACATGTAAATGTTCAATTCGTTGTGTGGAATTCAACAAGTAGAATTTAAGCATGTGGACTTCAGAAAAAGCAAGTGGAGAATGGCATTTTCTGCCTAAATGAATATGGGGTATTCCATGTGAACTCACTCAGGTCATAACCCTCACCATCGCCAATCATATTGCCGATTTTTCCTGTGGTTGTATATGGAAAAATATGATTTCTCAAATTTTTTCAGATTTTTTGAGGCACCCTGTGGACAGCTATGTTTTTTTGCAAGTTTTATCTTCAAATGCCTATAACTTCTGTAAAAATCAACCGATTTGATTTTTTTTTTTACAAAATGTGCGTCTTTGAACACACTTTCGATATAAAAATATGCCAATTTTTTTCAATTCATTCTTCCATCGATTTCCTCAGAAAAACCTCAAAAAACTTCAAAAAACGAGTCGTTTTCAAAGTTGGACCCTTTTTATATTTTTCAAAAAATTTCAGTGAATATATTGGACCAAAACAAAATTTTTCACCAAAGGCCAAAGTGGGCTTCCCATTTCGTGGCCGTCATTTCCAATTTAAATATATGAATCGGGGATGAAAAATTTCAAAAATTTCAAAATTCTTTTCGCATTTGAACGCAGAAGCATTATTTGAATTTACCGCCTGAAGAATCACTGCATTATATTCGAATCTGGAACAATTTGATGACTTTTTGAAAATTCGTTAACAATAAATCTTTCCGAGTGGTGTGTTCTAATAGAGATCCCACTTTGGCCTTTGGTGAAAAATTTTATTTTGGTCCAATACCCTCACGGGAATTTTTTGAAAAATATAAAAAGGGTCCAACTTTGAAAACGACCCGTTTTTTGAAGTTTTTCGTGGTTTTTCTGAGGAAATCGATGGAAGAACGAATTGAAAAAAATTGGCATATTTTTATATCGAAAGTGTGTTCGAAGACGCACATTTTGTAAAAAAAAAACTCAAATCGGTCGATTTTTACGAAAGTTACACGCATTTGAAGATAAAACTTGCAAAAAAACATGGCTGCCCACAGGATGCCTCAAAAAATCTGAAAAAATTTGAGAAGTCATATTTTTCCATATACAACCACAGGAAAAATCGGCAATATGATTGGCGATGGTGAGGGTTTCGACCTGGGTGAGTTCACATGGAATACCCCATATAGTAATTGTTACTAATAAATTCACAATTTGCTTTCGAATGGTTTTTTTTCAATTTTTATTTTACTATTTTCTTCGTCTATTTGGTTGTGTCAAATAATTCTGCATTTAGACCCTTTCAAGACTCGAATTTTTCAGTCCAGGTTTAATCAAAGTTCAATTAAGGATATCCAAGTACTTTGGGTATTTTTTCTCCAGTAAAATGGTTTTTGCTTCCGAATAGAAGCATTGTAATGCTTCAAATTTAAGTTTTGGATTATTTGTATTATATCCGCCAGTTATGTTTTTGGGTCGATATAATACAACATTTATGATTTGGATGCTCTTTTGACCGAGTTCGAAGATGACAGCCATATCAAAAATCAGGCCCGGTCGCGCGCCCCCTCTTTGGGGTATCACCGGTAGGGGTTGGTGGAATTGGGTGTGACCCAAATTACGGGTCGAACCAATAACTTCCCGACCATTTGTTTTTTCTTTCATTACTTTTTGTTATTATGTATTTATTCAATCTTTTTCTCACATTTTTCCGGGGAAATACCCATAAAAGGAAAGTTTCTTCGTAGATTTAATAAACACTGGGGTCATGCCACAGTGAATGCAGCGCACGCTATACGCAACGCTAGTCATTGTCAGAAATATTCAGAAAACAGTTGGATAATTATTTCATGCGTTGCACGCGTTTAGCGTTACATCCATTGTGGCATTACCCTTAGGGTGATTTCGCAAAGAACGCATTTGTAATTTAAGTTAACTCAAACTTCAATCAAGTTATTTGACCCACTTCAAAATTCTCTCAACTCCGAAGCTGATCCACTTCAAAAATTTGCAACTTCAAAGTTAACCCACTCTTGTGATAACAGGAAAATTTTAATAACAAATTCAATTAAATATTAAATGAGTTATCTTTTAATTTCTTATTATCGGGATAAAATAATATTTTTGTTTAGCAGATTCTTACCTTTTAAGCGCTAGGCGCATCTGCATCCATCGTTTGAATTTTTGATGTTTAGAAATTTGAGGAACAATAATGATAAAGTCAGGGTTTGAAATAAGAAAAAAAGAATTTGAATAAAACTTAATTTTGATATTTATTGTTTGAAGAGATTTTAATTGAACATAAAAAAGGAGCCAAAAGAGAGAGAGAATTCGAGCGAAGTAAATTGATTGGTATTGATATAAAGATTTTGATTTCATTTGTGATAATTTTGATAAAAGTTGAAAAGACCAAAATATATAGATTGGTTTGAGAATTTCGTACGAACCAATACTTAGAAATTATCCAAAATAGTTTTTTAGTTGTTCCAATTGTCTTCTGTTTTTCACTTCATGTCACTTAATTTTATATCTAAGTTTATATATGTTATTTCACTTTATGGTTTGAATTGTGATTGAATTTCAATTGTGTCCTTGTACTTTTTTATTTTCATTTTTGTAAGTTGTGTCCTTGCACTTATTGTCGCGAAAACGTAGTGAACAATTCGCAGTTCACCGACCGTTTCGCACCAGAGTCAACTTCTACGAAGTTGGGCGTATTTGAGGTTTTCTGGATAACTCGGGTTATCCCACGGAACGTCGGGAAGGACTGATAACTTATTCCGAAGTTACGATCGCTAGGGTAGAGCCCGAGGAGTTCGATCTAATGGACGTGCCGATTTGGCATCTAAGACGTGACTGAATATAATTTCGAAAAGAATGAATCGAGAGCCCGAAAATGACAGTGCAGTTGCGCTGCATTTGCAATTTTGACTATTGAAGGCCGCGCGTGGCGTGCTAGCCCGGTAAATTGAGCTGCATCGACAGCAACTCAATGTCCGGTGGGCAACGAATAAGTCGAATTTAGTGAGGAATAAAATTACAAACGAAATTAAATTTTTTTTGAATAAATTCAAAACACGCCACTCTACAATTTTCCAAGTTTCCCTTTTTTTTTATTGCAAAATTCGAAAGTTTTATTTAAAAAACTCAACAATCACTGAGGAGATTTCGCTCAAAATCCAATGAGAATTAAGTTATGTGGAGATGCATCGTTTACACAAAATTAATTCAAATCCCATCCATTGGGTTTTTTCCATTTACTATTTTCACTCATCTCTGCATAACGTCTAAAAAATTGTTTTTGGGAATTGTTGGAGATTATAATGGTACATAAAAAAACGCAATGAACGTTCGTTTAATAAAAAAAAAAACGCAATTTGTTAGACGTCATGCAGAACCGCGTGAAATTGAAAAAATTAATTATTTCATGATCTATTCCACGTAAGGCAAAAAGCATACGTGATTTCATTCTTTCAAGTCAGACGAACATTTTAAAGAAAAGAAAACCTGGATCGGATGAAAACTGTTCGCAAGGAGCACTTTTCACGTAAAAACCTGCAAAATTACGATTTATGTTCAA